CGAGGAGGGCGAGGGTCCGAGTATCTGCGTGAACGGGGCCCGGCCGCCTGCAGAGAGGACAGCACCGCGCGGCGCCCCCGGGAGGGGGAGGGACCACCGCCTCCGTGAAGGGCCGCCTGCCAGACTTCTCCGTGTTCAGGGCTGGGGCAGGGCGGAGGGGCGGCAGTGCCACCTGACCCAGAGCCAGGGGCCCCCACTCCCGCCAGCCATCGGCGCTTGCTTCCCAGGGAGGGCGGGGAAGGGCCCCTCAGCAGGTGGGGGCTGAGACTAGCCTGGAGAGTCTAACGCAGCCCTTTGGAGCCACGCTGGGGTGGAGGCAAAACGGGCCGGACAGAGCTGCCGCATCCACCCGTCCCCTGCAGGGCAGCTGTGGGCGCCTGCTCAGACCTGCCTGTGGCTCTCACCTGGGCACAAGCCATGGCGCTGTCCCCAGCCGCTCCCTTGTCTCCCCGGCCCCCAAGGAGCTCTGATACTCACCAACCTGGGAGCCGGCCAGGCCAGGCTCAGACCCACGCCCGAGGAGCCCGGTCTGAGGGGCACTAGGCCAAAGGAGCCCAAAGCCGGCTTTGCAGCTGATCACCAGGCTTCACCCTGATTGTGGCCGAAGCACCCCGCGGAGGCAGGAGGGAACCCAGACGGGGCCAGGCCAGGTCTGCACGCTTCCAGAAGGAGGGAAGCCCAAGGAGAGACCCAAGGCAAGCGCAGGCTGGGGGCCAGAGCAGAGGCGGGCTCAGCAGCCCCGCAGGCCCCACCCCGGCCGAGGTCAGGGGCCTCTGGAGCTGCTGGGAACACAGACCGACCGGCACAAGAAGCCACGACAACTTACTAACTCTAGTAGGGGCGGCTCAAAATCTGGCCACTTCCACATCGGCACTGCAAGGAAACACAAGGCTTGGTTGGTGTGAGCGGAGTGGGTGGGAGTGAGGTCTGAGGACTCGCAGGGCCAGGCCGGACGGAGGGTGGGGGCAGGAGACACCGGCTGCAGGGCGGAGCTGGCTCTCCAGCCCTCTGGAGGGCGTCTGCAGGGAGGTGGTAGCAAGGAGCAGGGCTGCTCAGGCAGGGCGTCCCCAGACCAGCCCTTGTGGCTCCCACCCAGGGCAGGGGTCCCCAGGCGGCCCCCAGGGAGAGCCGCACGGGCTGGCACTGGCTGCACCTCGGTTATTCTGTGGCCGGTACACGCGTCGGGGCTGAAAAGAGGCACCACACTCAACTCGATGCAATAAATAAAACTTTTATTCAAACAACTGCAGTACAGGGCACAATTCAGATTAAAAAAAAAAGAGGAAAGGAAACTATTTTCAGCGCTTTACGTCGTCACACAGCTGTGGTTTTGTGTCTACGTCCTTCCACTGCGCGTAGAGTCCCTGGGTTTGAGGTCTCAGCAGAACTGGAACGCCGACGCAGAAGGCTCTTTTTGCACAGGTCCGAGCTCTGGCTTGTTCTTCCCTTGGTTATAAAACGGGCTCTGCCTGGAGCTGCTCTCCTCACAAATGCTACCAGCCGCGTCCGAGCCCACGGGAGGGGCGGGAGGCTTTTGCGAAGTCATGCCAGAAAGAGCATCTGAAGCTTCGCGGGGCCGCGCCCTCGCTCCCTTCCCAGGGTCAGGGTGTGGAGACGCAAGGCCGTGGGCTGCTCCGAAGCCGCCGAGACACGGGGGACACGAGCGCGCCGATGGAGGGGGCAGGGACCACCTGCGCCACTGGGCCAGCCTCGCGCCCCTGCCCCGTGCAGCTGAGACTCCATCACAGGCTGGTTAAAGAAACATTTCCAGAACTTGTAGGCTTGGGGCTGGTCTCTGGAGGTCCTTGGGATGTCCGAGTGCGGCCAGCCCCCTCCCTGCCAGTGCACCGTGTGGTCACTGTGCCCCAAGGCTGGCGCCGCTCTCTGTCTGTACACTGTCAGACGGC